TTTGCACCCAGACGATTTGATGAGCCAGCAGGAGACCCAACAAATGTCATGGTTTGTATCCTGAGAGATTCACAGACTCCCATCACGGGAATGAATCAAAATGTTATGGGGTTAGCCTCCTCAGAAATGGTTGGATGGACTTTTTTTTCAGGGTGTCCAGAGTGGGTTTTATCCATTATGTGTCACCTTACTATGCAGAATTAAGGACACCCCAGGGCTGGTGGGCCTTGGGATAAGTAACCTTAAAGAATGAAGATTAGCTAGATTAAGGGTCGCCTCCAGAAATGACCTTTTTATCAGAGAAACCTGTCTTAAGGCAGAGGAAAGAATTTGTCCTATGACATCATCCTTTCCTTGCTGCCTCTCTCCTTGACATCTCAGGCTCCCATCCCCAGCACAGAATAGAGTCCCCAGATTTGTCCCATTTACTTTAGAATTTATGACCATGTAAATTCTCCATAGATGTTTAATCGAATCTGGCTTTTTCTCTTTCTAATCTGTCTAATAATTTCTTTGCTTATCCAGCTGGAGAAGTCAGGGCTGGGGGACATTTTCCCAGTGCCCAGCAGCATGAACAAAACAGGAATGAAAAAAACTACTTCATACAACAAATGGTAATTCACCATGTCAACTAATGTTTATTGAACAGTTGCTATGAATACATAAATGTGTTTTTTTTGAAAAAGAAAAATATTTTAAAATAAAAAGAACTATTTAGTGCCTAAATGAATTGAGTTTCATGATAAATAAGAGATAACTAGTTTGGATTCTCCAAAGCAGAGCCTGAGACAAGGACTGGAGGGTTGGGAACTCACCTGGGAGTTATTCTTTGAAAGAAGTACTAAAAGGGGAGGGAGTGTGAGGCAAGAAAGAAAAAATAAAAAGTCAAACTGAGTATAGCTTGTTAAAGTTATTGCTCTGAAATACTGGGGCTATTCCTTTAGGCATTTGGAGAAGATTGCTATGTGCTTTCAGAATTAAATCCTGAAAAATAGGATGCTGGAGTAATTTATCCAGGAAACGTTCCTCTTGGTTTAGTTTTTAAGTGTCTGTCACAATCTTCACCTGTTGCATAAAAATATGAACAATTGGGTTGCAATGTAGGGGTGGGTGGGGCTCAAAGCTTTAAGGGTGATGTAACAGTCCATAATGGATAGCTTGTGGTCCTTTGTTAGAAATTAATACTATGCTGAAGGAACAAAGTAACTTCCTATTCATTTTCTAAATTTAGCCCAACAGTAGTTCCTGCTAATTCTTCTCTTTTTTTATGCATACAAGAATGAGTTCTAGGCCAGAGGTGTGGGTATGAGAGATTCACCAGAGACAGAGAGGGGAGCAGAACAGGCAGATCTACTGAAATACACTGCTGTGGGGAGCAGCAGCAGGCAAGACTGGAGAGGTCAATTGTGCCATGTGGGTCAGCTCCCTGCGGGGGATGGAACTGGTGCCACAGTTGCTGGCAATAGCTTGATAGCACTGAGACTTTAACCCCTGTGCCACCAGGGAGGTCCTCTGCTCTTTGCTTTATTTCACGGACAGTTCTTGCACTTGAAACTTGGCAGTCACAAGGAAAGAACCAGAAACAAAGGTTTTGGTTTTAATAGTATGCTAGTTTTCTTTATTACTTTAATATTACTTTTGTAATATTGCATATGACTAACCTGAGATAAAGGGTTAATTTTGTCTCTCCTATTTTCAGGATTTTTCACTTTCAAAGCAGATTAGATTGATTTCCATGGTTTCTTTTTGGCCTGGAACTAGTCATGTCTTCTAAGCATGTTCATTAGCCAGCCTTTCTTGGGGTGAGAGATATAATTGACCTCTAACATTACATTGCTTTCAGATATACAAAATAATAATTGATAGTTTTATATATTGAGAAATGAGTACAATAAATAAATCTAATTATGTATTTAGCCATACACAATTACAAATATTTTTTATTGTGATGAGAACTTCAAAAAACTCTTTTATCAACTTCAAATGAGCCATACATTATTATTGCCAGGCTGTGCATTACGTCCCCATGACATTTATTTCATAACTGGGATTTGAGCCCTTGACCACCTTCACCCATTTCACCTCTCTCTGACCTTTCAACCCTATCCTTTGCAGACACCAATGTGTTCTCTGTATCTGTTAGCTTGATTGTCTTTTTGTTTTATTTTACATCCCATGTGTCGGTGAAGTCATGTCCTACTTGTCTTGCTTTGTCTGACTTTTTTCACTTGTCATAATACCTTCAAGATCTATCCATGTTGTAACAAATAACAGGGCTTCCTTCTTTTTTATTATGTTGAATGACATTGCATGGCATCTATCCATCCATCCATCTATCTATTTATATCACTATACATATACATATATATATATACTAAATATACATATAAATGTGTATATATATCAATAAATACATATACGAAAATTTATCCATTATCCCTATAATAACATAAATATTATAAATAATGCCTATAGTAAATAATGATGCAAGAATATGGGGGTACCTTTATGTTTTTGAGGTAGTATTTTCATTTTCTTTGATAATGACTCAAAGAATTGCTGGATCACATGGTGGTTCTATTTTTAATTTTTCAGTACTTTCCTTACTGTTTTCCTTGGTGGCTGCCAATTTGCATTCCCACCAATAATGTACAAACATTCCCTTTTCTCTATACACTTGCCAACATTTGTTATTGTTTGACTGCTTTTCTTCCCAATATTGGTTATGCTAACAGGTATGAGGTGAAAGCTCGTTGTGGTTTTGATTTGAATTTTCCTGGATTTTCTGTGATATTGAACATATTTTCCTGTAACTGTTTGTCAGCTGTATGTTTTCTTTGAAAAAAAAAAGTCTTTTGAGATACTGTGCCCATTTTTGCATTATATTTATTTTTGTTATTGAGTTGTATGTGTTCTTTATATATGTTGAATATTAGCTCCTTATCAGTATATAATGTGCAGATATTTTCTCCCATTCAGTAGGTAGCCTTTTCATTTTGTTGATGATTTCATTTGCTGTACAGATTTATCAGCCAAATTTCCTTTAAATATATTCCTTCTGTAAACCCTATGTACACAGTTATTTACACATACACTTGTAATGTATTTAGAAAGCTACCACAAATTGCTGACTATACCCACATAGTCTGCTTTTTTGATTTATAATACCTGAACTGCTCACTGTTAGATATTATTTAAATTCAAGCATATTTCTAGACTGTCCATATAAAACATCAAATACATAAAATATATTGGGAGCGGTAAATACTGTATTAGTTATGGAAATTTTCAATATAATCATGAAAATAAAGTCTCAATGTGAGGTAAACATCAGATTGACAAATTTGTTTTCACACAGCAAAATTAAGTATTGCCAACAAATTGACCAGAGTACAAACAGTGATAAATTTTGTAATACTTTCTATTGCAAACTTAAAAAAAAAAACTGGTGATATATGTATTTGAGGGGTTGCCACTGTAGATGCTGTCTTGGTTAAAGGAAACAAGATTTTCTTAGATTAGTTTACAGTTTTTTGGATGTACTAAATTCAGAACTTTGAATAATTAGGTTATTATGTAGTAAGGCAGACTACAAGTTGACACTACTTAGAGGATCCAAGTGGAGTGCTAATTTTTAAAAAAGAAAACTATTTGCTTCTAAAATATCTAATTGTTCTTATTTGTGATGAAAAAATATTTTCTTCATTTTTTCATTAGTATGTTGACTAGTAAGTGAAGAACATGCTTCAGGACAAAAGCTTACCAGGAGAGAATGAATAATTTTGCTGTATTCTTTGTAAACACAAACTTTGTGGAACAGCCCAGTGAATTAAGAGTGTGCTACTAATCATTCTTTGGTGCAAGTTTACCAAGGCAGTCAGGGATTCTTCTTCTCCTACAGATACTCCCCTTACCCAGTGTGTAAACAATGACCAGACTCAGCCATAAAAATCCCAGGGAGAGTGAATTGTATAAAATGTGGTTTTATTGATTTCTCAGTGCTCTTATAACCTTTTCATATTATTTATCCTCCCACAAAACTGTATTAAACATTATAATTGATTATAAAGTAATAAAACAGATTTTAGTGTGGATCAGGAACTTCAAAATTACAATTTTGAACACCTTCATTTCTTTGAGAATGGAAGTTGAGATATTCAGAAGTTAAATGAATTTTTCCCCTGTCACCTAATTAGCCAGTGGCAGATTCAGGACTATAAATGATATTCTGATTTCTAATTACTTCCATAAATTATTAAAATTCACCACTGTAGGGAGCGAAATGAAAGGAAATGTCGTTTCAATGCATAATTCCTAGTTAGCAGCTGTAGCAGGCTAAGGACAGGGTGACAGAACTTCTGCCCTGGCTCCATAGTCCTCGGTGCAACTGTTTAGAACTTAAACCAATAAATAATATTTTCTAGAAAGAATAATTTATCACTGATATTGTTTGGAATTGTGGGTTCGTGATTCATACTGCTTTTAAATTCTCTGCACACAGAATACTTGCTGTGAACGATTCTCACTGCCCTGAGCTTGCTATATCACCGGGGAATAGTAAATACTTATATCGATTTAAGTCCCAGTACAGTGTTGGTAGCTTAATGGCTGCTAATTAGTAGATGAGTTTGTAACTAGAAGAGATGCGAAGACAGGATGGACTTGGGGGTCAAATATGTATTTTGCCTCAGTGATAAAATGAATTTCTATCCTAGAGATATATGAGTTAAATTTTTGATTTAGGAGTTGCAAGACAATCCAAATCTGAGAGTGAGAACACACACACATGTAGGTAAGCTTATCATACTTTGTATCCTAACTCTATGCCAAATGTGTTCTTGGCAATAGAATAGTTAAATGTCATTAAAAAGAAAAACTTGGCCTCTATTGACTATTTAACATTTTTAATGTAAAAGCAGAACTTGGCAAGTTAGCTGTTGTAGTTTGGCAGGAGGCTCACTTTTAGTAAACACACTATTCCCAACATAGATCACTCTAGAGTGTACAGAGGTTCAGTTTCTGAACCAGTTGAAATAAAAGCCAAGCTCAGAGTGCACAGGGGTGACTGATTGGCTGGTGCAGGGCAAGCAAGACCCATAAAAGGCAGCTGGGGAACCTCTGAGCAGATTCACAAAATCAACCAAGAAGCCTCAAACCTCAGTGCTTCTCAGATAGTTCTTTCCATCATGAGTGGGTGCCCATTTTTGGGAAATAATTTAGGGTGAGTATTTATTCACTTGTTTAATAATCTCTTCTTAAGAAAATTAGCAGTAAGAGAATTTATCATTTATATTATTAGGGAACTGTGTGTTCTCAAGATCTATATCTTTCTCCTCAATTATTTAATCTGCAGATATGCTTTTAGAAAAGTATCTACAGAAGGAAATGAAGAGGACAATGCACAAACCGGAGTGAACAAAGCCAGCAAAGGAGGACTTATCTATGGGAACTATCTGCATGTAAGTGGCAGGGTCTTATGGTGTTTAAATTCCCTGGTTAGGTGCTAAATTTTGCTGAGTGATATTTGCATGCTTTTGCTTCTTTCTTTCTTTCTGTTTTTCTTTCTTTCTTTCTTTCTTTCTTTCTTTCTTTCTTTCTTTCTTTCTTTCTTTCTTTCTTTCTTTCTTTCTCTCTCTCTCTCTCTCTCTCTCTCTCTCTCTCTCTCTCTCTCTCTCTCTCTCTCTCTCTCTCTCTCTCTTTCTTTCTTTCTTTCTTTCTTTTCTGTCACCAAATAGTTTTCTAGGTTTAAGGACATTGTTATTTATGCAAATGTGTATTTTTTTAGAATTTTGTTAGAAAAACTTGAGACTCATGTGAAAAGTCACCTCTGGCAGAGGAACAATAGAAGCAGAGTCTAGAACGTAGGCAGAAGAGTGGAGATGGTAAGACAAAGTGTAGATAACTGGACAGCATTGTACAACTTATATAAATAAGACATAGTCAATAAATCCCAGCTAGATGATGCAAGGGGAGTCAGGAAAATGGCTTTTAAATTCTTTGTTATGAAGTAGAAATGTTGAAGGCACATGCTGCTATGAAGTCATCAGCAAATAAAAGATGGATATTAAAAATGAAGTAGCTAGAAATTATTCTGGGGTGAGGTTCAGCCTGTTTGTCTTCTATATTTCTTAAGCAGTGAAATGATGGCTTCATCAATGTGTTTCTGATGTGTTCAAATCAAAGACGAGCTGGTTAAAATCTTATTAGAATGGGCTTTGGGGGAGAAAAAAAGAACAAAAGATATACAGTTGAGCAGATAATCAAGTTTGTATCTACTCATTTCAAGAGATGGAGGGTTATGACTTTTCAAAGAGTGCAATAACATTCGTTATGATAGAAATCTACCAAACATAATTTCTTCTTAAAAGAACAAATATCATAAATTCAACTTACTCTTTATGACAAGGCTCATTAATTGTTTAAAAGAAAATTGAGAATTTGGGGATTTGCAGGACTTTTTTAGTACTGTATCCTACTTATTAAAGTTCAAAAAAAAACCAAGTATTGTAATCTCTAATCAAGTCTTTTTTTTTTAGATCTTTGTAGTTTCATTGAGATGGACTTGACATAGAACACATATATTATAAATAAATTGATTACCATGATAACATTGGCTAATAACTTTATCATATCACTTAATCACTATCTTTCTTCTTTGTGTGATACAAAAATAAACTTCGCTTTAAAGCAGCTATTAACTATAATACTGTTCATTAGATTCCCATAACTTATTCACCTTTTAACTAGAAGTTTACACAAAAATCATGCTTTTTATTTTTTGTTTAAAGTTGGAAAAAGTTTTGAATGCACAGGAACTTCAGAGTGAAATAAAAGGAAATAAAATCCACGATGAACATCTTTTTATTATAACTCATCAAGGTAAGCTGCATAAAAGTTTGTATGATAACTATTCCATAGATGTATCCCATAAATAATGAGGAAAGCTGAAATTCCTTTAACTATAAGAAAGTGAAAGATAAAACATTTCTTTGCTAGAAATGTTGAAAGTATCTTGCTGCCAGATAAATTCTCACAGGAACTCCCTCTGGGATTTTAAACAATCTCATTTTGTTACTTCACTGCTAATTGCATCAAGTACAACTTTTCTTTGTCCTAGGTCCAAGAAAGAATTCCATAGCTAGGAATTCACAAAGAATTTGCAAACTAAGCTGTGATAATTTTTCAATTTGGAACGTTAAAGAACTATGACTTTACATAATCCTATACAAATGTAATACTAACAGAAATGTAATTTTTTTCTGAAAAATGTTTCCTCTTCAGACTTTGAACATCTGGAAAGTGGTTTTTAACACAGAGGTCCATAAATTTAGGAGTTTAAAAGGTCTCTGAGTTCTGAAATTTTATGCAAAATCTCATGAATCTTTATGAGGCCCGTGACCCCCAAATATAAGGAAGATTTACTGTAAGATTGTTAGTGTCATAATATTGTTCTCTAAAGCCTAGTTACTCCTGCTAGTCAGTGCCCCGTTTCTAGATGTTTCTTTCCCAATCAGTACAAATGCTTACTTGTTTCACTGGCTAAAATGATACTAACTACCTTTTGAGGAAAAAAAAAAAATTGAAGATGGAAAACAATGATTTCAATGTGTTGCTTCTCCTGTTATTATGTTTATAGGTTTTATTGTTGATTTATACTAATACACGATCAATAAGGGAAGAAGCATGGCAGGGTAGCACAGATTCTGAATTTAGAAAATTACTTAGAATCTCATTTCTACCATTATAAACTGATTGACCTTGGTCAAGTTTCTTGACCAGTAATTTTATCCATTTCTCTGTAAAGTGGAGATACTTTTTGTATCTTTCCTTTCATGGAGTTCTTATGAAGATGGAAGTAAGAGAATGTGCATTAAGCTCTCAGCTCATAATAAGCACACAGCATGGCAGCTGGCATGATTTGATAGGAAGACTTTTCTTCAATCCTGCAGTTATAACGTGAAGTCAATGTTGTGGGAGTAGCCATTCAAGTTAAACACAAAAATCAGATACATAAACTGGTGAAGAAATATTTGGTTTGCTCTTTATGTGAATAAAAAATTAGAACCTTATATATGTTGGTTATAATTTTATTCCCTTAATTAGTAAGAAATGGAGCCTTTACCTACATCATAGCACCAAGTACAATACACTGGAAATCCCTAAGATTATTGATTTTCGGTCATCATGTAATGGTGACCCAATCTACTTAATTCATTTATTCATAAAATAATCGTCAGTATTTATCTTGTGCCAAATGCTGTGCAAAAGTACTGAGGGAAATAGATGCATATGACAAAGCTTCAGATTATGCATGCTATTCTAAGCCCCTAAAAATCAAAGCTTTGTTATATTCATTAGGTGGGTGAGTACTGATTTCTTAATTGACATATGAAGCTGAGTGTCACTTTCAGGTCTGCATACCTCCAGCTTCCATATGGGAAGGTAAAATTTGGTTATGTGCAATATCCTTAAAGATATAAACATACATTTGTTGAGAGAAATCAATGTAATAATAATAATAATGAACATATTGCATACAGATAACATGCTAGGGACATTAAAACATTTAATATTATAACAATTTTTTATTTTAAGATAACAGATTTCTATTTTAATGTGTTAACTTTGTTTACCCTATAATTATGGTTAAAGAGTCTTAAAATTTTCCAATTGATCATGTTTTTCTCATTACAGCTTATGAACTGTGGTTTAAGCAAATCCTCTGGGAATTAGATTCTGTTCGAGAGATCTTTCAGAATGGACATGTGAGTTTTTATGTCACAATATTGGTCTCCTATTTTGGAGGAGAGAATGTAGAACATATTATTAATGAAGAAAATTGAACACCAAATAGTGATATCACTTAATGAAAAAAAATATTGATATCACTTAATGAAAAAAAAAAAAATCCTTCCTTAGTGGAGAAGTTTAGTCATATTTTCCCAGTGCCATTGACACTGAAAACTACAACTGCTTTATGGTTCCTTTCAAATTTTATTTTCAAACCCCCTGCCTAGAACTCAGAGATTTTTCTTTTGTCTTTAAAAATGTTATCCATGATGGTAATTGTCAGGGCAGCTATTCTAGATCCTTCAATTAATAAGCAACAGAATTGTGTTTCTACTATGTATTTGCTACAGGAGAATGGAAAAAAAATAATGAGGAAAGTGAAATAGGAAGAGGAGGAAGGAAAAATAGTCAGCAGGAGGAAGGAAGAGAGAAAAGAGACAAGGGGGAGGAGGCTAGGGAGAAAAGGACAAAGATGATAGAGTAGAAGCAGCAAAGCTTCAGGTGAGGACAGAATCTACAATGCACAACCCCACCTCTCACGCATCCTCAGGACATAGGACCCCACCTTAGAGCCACCACCTCTGTGCCCCTGCTCCATGCGAGGCTGGGGAGGAGGGATCCAGTACATGGTCTTCTTGTTGCACAGGTGGATACAATCCCATTGGCATCTTCAGTCCTCAGTAAAGAGCAGAAATCCCCATGTTTCCTTGACCTTCAGTCCTTGAAGCAAAACAGAGACACTTGCTTTAAAATTTGTGGGTAGCGAGTTCCAAAATTTATCCCTAACTTGCTTCCTTATAATTTTTTTTATTTTTTCCACTTTATTCAGATATAATTGACATATAACATTGAGTTAGCTTAAGGTGTACACACAATGACTTGCTATTTGTATGTATATATAGCAAAATTATTATCACACTAAGTTTGATTTACATCCACCATCTCATAGTTATAAGTTTTTTCACCATGATGACTTTTAAGATCTATAATCTCAGCAACTTTCAAAAATACAATACAATACAGTTAATTATAATCACTAAGCTGAGTGTTATAATCCCTGAACTGATTTATCATATAGCTGGAAGTTGGAAGTCTTGGTCCTGAACCAGAATTGATTGCTCAGTGTTTCATTTCTTGTTCTTCAGGTCAGGGATGAAAGGAATATGCTTAAGGTTGTCACGCGGATGCACCGAGTATCAGTGATTCTTAAGTTACTGGTTCAGCAGTTTACTGTTCTGGAAACAATGACACCCCTGGACTTCAATGACTTCAGGTGTGCATCTGTACCTTTGTAATAATGCAGTGAACTTTGTCTTCTCCTTTTGGTGGGTAAAAGAAGATGTGCGTTTGTGACACTGATGTTGGATTAGTGGTGTTACAGGGCGGGGAGAGGGGCACCCCAGAACTCCCAAACCTGCCCCTTTTAAATAGGTTCTGCCATCCGCCGCATCAAGACAAAGCATACTCCAGTGCATAAGGCCTTCAATGGAAAGAACTTTAAAACAATTAGTGTGCAATACAAAAAAGGGGAAGAATAAAATTTCCAAATCAAGAACTTGAAGTTACCCATTTCCTCATGGGTAAATTCCCAGCCTAACAAAGTTGGCCCAAAGTTGGACCACTGAGGTCTGAAGGCCTGCCAGAAGCCTAAGGCACCTTCTGGTGGGGGCCCATAAGAAAGGGGCAGAAGTGGCCCAGTGCATCTGGGATGGAAGGAGCAAATCAAGATAAAAGCTACCATTGTTATCCTCCCCATGGTCTCTCACCCACGTCTGTTTTAACCTGTCCAGGATGAAGGAGCAAGTGCTGCTTGTTCACATGTCTCTGCTCCATGTGCCTTCTCTGGGCCTCCTTCTAGCTCCCATCCTGCTTCCTTCTTCTGTCTCCTCCCAGCTTCTCCCCGCTGCTCAGCTCCACTCTTCCTCTGGTGGGACAGGGAACCAGGAACCTCCCCTTTCCCAGGGGACCACCCAGTTACAATGGGAAGGAAGTACTTTGGGTTCCTTCAAGAATAAACTCAACAAACTCACCTTAATTGACAATGCAAGTTCATTAAGAAAAAAGAGACACTTGCGTAGATACAAGTGGGCAAAGCCTGTGTTTTTAAAAGGGCAGGGTGGTCCTTTGTGGGATATCTTTGTGGAATTCCTTTCATTGGGGTGAGGTTGGTTTGCTGTAATGGCTGTTAGTCCTCTCTCTTCCCCCCTCCACAAACTCAGTTGCTGGTCTTGTGAAATTTGCATAACCAGTTTTAAGAACTACCTTAATCATTTTTCTCCACCTCCGGCTACTCCAGGAGGCCGGCATTCTAGGCCACAAAAGTTTAGGTGTTTGCTTTTCCTTTTAGGACATTCTCTTAGCAATCTGACATTCATGACTGCCACTATCTACTCCACAGGGACATAGAAAATATTATTAAGTTTGTAACAAAATCAATTTTTCAAGTTCTCAGAATGCAGTGCGTAGGAGGCACTTAGTGGTTAATCATGAGAAGTGAGTACAATCTGGTGGTTAGAGTTTCTTAATACATTTTTATTCTGGGGAAGTTTTATGTTGCAAAATGGATGGGATCCGACTGTACCATGAAGAGCTTGTCCTACCGACACTATCACTATAAACACTCAGGAGTCTTAATCACGAACATTTGATGTTATTAAACACATTTTATTCATCACTTTTACATGATAATATGTCAGTTGATTTCAATTCATCACTATGTGACTTGTTATTCCAAAAAACGTTTTCAACAACTTTACAAAATGGCTAAAATGCCTGATACAACGCATGTAACAAATAAAAATTAAGAAAGAGGCGTAATAGTAAAAGAAACATGCAGCAAAAGTATCAGTATAAGTTATAGATTTAGTCATAAATTTTAGTTCTCCATTTTCAGGCAGCCAAACTCACATAATCTTCAGTAGAAACTTCTTTTCAAATCAAATATTGAGAAGAAATTTTCTTAGAATGATAGATGTATTTAATATGTAACGGGCAGAGTTTGACAATCAAAAAAGGTAGAGCTCTTGTTTTGGATTTAAACATTGGAGTCTGAGGAACAATTAGATGAAGGAAATTTATGAGGATATGAGAGAGTTTGGTGGTTGTGTGGGATGGGAGTAAAAGCATTTGCTGATCATGCTTTGTATGAGGCAATGTTCCATTCTATTTGATTTGTGGTATCATTGGTGCTCATAAAATAAAAATAGTGAGATTAATAATAATATACAAGAATATAATTTTTAGGGGGAATTAAATAATAAAGACTCAGTACTATTGAATAAAAATACTGGTTAGTATCCATCTGTCTTTAATTTAGGAAAAAACTTAATACTCATGTGTACACACATGCATATCCATATGTATGCACACAGATAGCTGCAAACAACTATAGATACACACATGGATGACATCCCACATGTTACACAGACACCCATCTATAAATTAATTGACCAACAGGGACAAAAATGCTTATTATTTTGGTCCAAATTCTAGGCAGCTGTGTGCCTGTGTTCTTATCTCAGAGAGCAAAAACTGAGAAACTCTTGCAACAGTGATTTACAATGACAACCTAATTCTACCTTTCTTTTCTCTCTCTCTCCCCCATTGACTCTCACAGAGATTACCTATCACCAGCATCAGGCTTCCAGAGTTTGCAGTTTCGACTCCTGGAAAACAAGATAGGTGTTCTTCAGAGTTTGAGAGTCCCTTACAACAGAAGACATTATCGTGATAACTTCAAAGGAGAAGATAATGAACTGCTTCTTAAATCTGAGCAGGAAAAAACACTTCTGCAACTGGTGGAGGTACTTGCTCAAGTGTCTTCCTAAAGTCTAATTCCTAGCAGTACATGCTGTTGGATTAGCTGGTGCTAGATCTGAGTTGAAAAGTTCCTATCAATGTTGGGTCTCTGTTGTAAATAAGAACAGATAGGATTTATAAAAATACTTCAACTTGTAAATTCAGCTAATTAAATAATTGAAGATATTAAGATCTCTTGAGAACTTCAGAAATACTTATATAATCAATAATTTGTTAATATTTAATAGCCTTTTTATCTTATTAAAACAATCCCTTTAAACATCCTAACTAAGCAACATTTAATTAGCTGATTTTAAACTGAGTGTAGTTAATTATTCATTGAGCTTTATATCTTTAAAACATTCCATAATTGGAAAGTTCCTCATTTAAGAATGTTTTCTCTTCATAGCTTAATTTCCTATGGGTTTAGACATAGCCACAAGGAATTATTCATTTATTTCTTCCTAACTAAATTATTAAATAAAGATTGTATAGTTTTAATTCCTTTGCAGAGGTTTTTCCTTTGAAAATTAAGCTTTCTTTAGAAAGAATGCTCTGCTTGTTACTGCCCTGGGTATTGTAACTGTGGATTTAGGTCAATATATCAATGCTATATAACATTTTATAAAAATAAAGAAATAGAACTAATTTCAAAACCAAAAATAGGCTACACAAGAGCCCACATAGATGCATGAATTTGATTTTATTTCTAGATTTAAAAGACTTGTAGGTTCTTAAAATAATTGGATAGTTAAATTCGAAGTTTCTAAGTGTACACTGTTTTTGCATTTAGAAGGGTTCATATCTTATGTGTCATTATTTCTTCAGTTCCTAAAACTTATTTTGAGAATAAATAAACAGTCCTTATTAAAACAATGTATGGATAGTTTCATAGATTTCTAGAACAAAAATGAAGAGAAAAATATTATAATAATATTGCCAAAGATTAAGAAAATGAAATATAACATCATTATTTTATAAATGAAGAAACTGAAGGAAAAGAAAATTTACACACAAAAATAATATGGTATATGTTTGTCAAAATCATGAAAGTTTCTTGTTGTAAGTCATAGTGTTAGTTACAAAGTATGTTATATACTTTAAATTTTATGCTATAGTCACCTAAAAAATATTCATTTAAGGCATGGCTGGAAAGAACACCTGGGTTGGAGCCACAAGGATTTAACTTCTGGGGAAAGTTTGAAAAAAATATTGTCAAAGGCCTGGAAGAGGAATTCACAAGGATTGAGGTATTTATGATACCATGAAATAAAAGTTCATTGTAGAAGTATTGGGAATTTTAAGAATTCTCTATTTTTCCCTTTTCTTTTTTCTTACATTCTTTTTTCTTCATCAATGCATCTGTTTGGCAAGACAATTTATTTAATTTTATTTGAAAATATCTTTCCATACAATCTTGTGCAACGCAACCTCCACATTGAAGTGTTTCTCCTATAAGTTGAATTGTGGACTCTTAAAATAATTGTATAATTAGTTGAATTCAAAGTTGCTAGGTATACAACGTGAAGTCAGACACATACAATTGATCCTGGGCAGCTCACTGTTCTTCAAACAAGCTATCACCAAATCCTGTCAAGTTTGCCTTCTAAATGGCTCCAGGATATCTCTCTTCAATCAACCACCATCAACTAATTAATTGAGTCGTAAATATAGCATACACTGGAGGCAGAAATTTAAGACATTCCTTAAATGAATGAATAGGTAGCAAATGCATCAAAATATAAGGGTGGAGACTATTTAAGACATTATAATTATATAATATAAACTGAATATAAAATTAGAATATAAACTGAATATAGACTATAAACTGAATATTTTACTTACTGTATTAAACAATTGTCAAAAAATAGGTCCTTATTTGTTACTTGTAGTTTACCTCCTGTTTACTTCTGAGTATATTTCTCATGATAATTTTGATGAGAACAATTTGAGATGAGCAAATAATTTAAACTTAAATGAGAAGATAGAACCAGCGAGTGTGGAGAAGATCCCTTCTCATATGACATAATTTTCAAATGTAATGCTAGATGATCTGGTAAAAAAATTCCAAATACAATCTTTCTGCTCCTGGGGAGTCTCTCACAAGCAGTGTTTTCTGAAATAAGGGTCTGATCTCTCTCTCAGCAATATTAATGCAGTATTTTCTCTAAAGGCTAAAGAAGATTCAGAGGAAAAAGAGGAACAGATGGCTGAATTTCAGAAACAAAAAGAAGTGTTACTCTCCTTGTTTGATGAGAAACGCCATGAGCACCTCCTTAGTAAGGGTATGTACTTTATTGTAAAAATCCTATCTTTGCAATGAATAATGGGAGATATCAAGCCCTACCAGGGGAAAATAAAACTGAAATTCCATTCATAGAAATAGGAACTGAGTTCAGATGATCAACGATAAACCAATATTAGCATTCAACATCTAGTTAATCTCAGAAACTTTCATAATAACAAACAAGGAATACCAAGATCAACTGAAAATGGTTGGTCACATAGTTCACAATTTAACAGGGAGAGAAATGGAGACAATCCATGTGGTGGTGAGTGCTGCAGCAGTGGTGGAGAGGGAGAATTTGCTGTTATGAGGTTAGGGTGTGAGGCAGCGGAGAAATTTCCCAAGCAGACCAGGGAAAGCACAAGCTTACATGTCTGGTGTAATTGATATTGAGCAGTATAACCAATACATATGTCACTTTTTTCTTTATCATCTGAAATTGTTGTGTTCATTTTTATTTAGAAGTTTATAAATACTTATTTGTCATTTAGAAATAAACAGAAATAAAAGTTAATTTTATAAGCACAAGACATACAGTATATTCAATTAGTATTCAATTCTGTAAGTTTAAAGGCTGTAAGCTTGAGTTTTCTATCAAACCTCAGTAAAGAAGAGCAAAACCTGATTTTCTGCATCTGATAGAATAAAACTGTTCACTAGAGCATATATCTGACATCAGTTATAGAGATGGTGCTCCTTGCAGCCAAGTGATGTTAAGCAATTTAAATAATTTTAAGTGAATTAGAAAAAACTACTACTACATAAAGTGGAATGAATTTAATATTTTGAAAAGTAATCATGGGGCCTTTCTGGTGGCGCAGGGGTTTAAGTCTCAGCACTATGAAGCTATCACCAGCCACTGCAGTCAGAGTTCGATTCCCCAGCCAGGGAGCTAATCCACATGGCACAGCAGACCTCTCCTGTCTGGTCTGCTGCTCCCCTCAGCAGTGTGTTTCAGTCAGTCTGCCTGTTCTGCTCCCCACTCTGTCTCTGGTGAAGCCTCTCATTCCCCACATCTCTGGCCTGCACCCCAGTTCTTGTATGAATAAATAAAATATTTTTTTTAAGATTTATTTATTTATTTATACAAGCTGTGGGTACAGTCAGAGGTGTGGGAGGGTGAGAGAATTGACCAGAGCCAGAGTGGGGAAGAGAACAGGCAGACTGACGAAGTACACTGCTGTGGGGAGCAGCGGGCATGGCAGGAGAGGTCTGCATGACATGTGGGACCCTTGCTCGGTGGCCAGGGATCGAACCGGCTCAGCAGAGGCTGCAGGCAGCTTCTCAGCCCAGTGCTCAACTGCTGCGCCACCAGGGGAGGCCCTAAATAAAATAAATCTTTAAGAAAAAAATTGAAAATCAATCATACTATTTTATTTGAAATGTTTTATCATGCACATTTTTTCTAAATCAGTTTTTCCTAATTTGACCTTTAAAGGTTTTGAGAATTTAAATATACATATATGTGTAATTTGTCTTTACATATAGTTTGCATATTTCTCATTTACCTTTTAAAATCCAATACTAAACTATTATAAGATTGTTTTCTATTGTGTAACAATATTTAATGTGATGCAAATTAATGAGCACCTAAATTACTTATTAAACTTGCTATATATTTGCAGGTGAAAGACGATTGTCATACAGAGCACTTCAGGGGGCCTTGATGATATATTTTTACAGGTAAAAGTAAATCAAAAGCAGAGAGGCTGAACAAAATATTGAAGAGTGTATATAGATAATATACTAGAATAAAACTTACGAATTAGAGTCATAGTTTAAAAAAGTCATTTTTTTTTTGCAAGGAAACTAAGAAAATAATTGTGTTTCATGCAGTTTTTTTTTTTTTACTTTTTAATAGTAAAATCATCTCTGGGTGGGTGAAAAAATATTTCAAGTAAAATTATTTTCACTGTCTCAAGCATCTGAGGTGTCCCTTAAGTTCATACTCTTTTGCTCAAGGTGTTCGTGAATTTAGCTGTATCGGAACAGTGGGTATAGCATATCAGAAAAGAGTAAAAACACGAAAAACAAAGACTGTCTTCTGTATGTATTATTTGGACTTATTTAATTTTAAATCCTCTCTCATCTGTTTCTTGAGAATGGCAACACAAAAAATCTGACTTCCCCCCTAAACTATACTACTGTATGCCACTCAAGCAGACAATGTATTGAAGGTACTGAAGGATTAGATTTTTTTTTAAGAGAAATAATACAGGGAGAAAATCAGTGATAGTCTTTGTTTTGTGTTTTAAAATCTATGCCTAGAAGCTTCTGGCTATTAGCTGGGAAATCTGAGGTGGTGTATAAGTCTGCCTTTTAATGAGACTCTGTTAGGTAGACCGTGGCCTGTTAATTCATGTGTATTTCATGAAATATTCTAGATTCTGCAAATGCTGCGAGTGGTAGTATCCCCATTTTTTGAGATTAAGAAACTAAGCCTGAGGGAGTAATCCAGATTTGCCACAGTTTGTAAGAGAAGTTTATATTAGTTTCCAGGGCCAACAGATTATAAAATTTATGTTCTGCCTAACACACTGGATTTGCTTGAAAAGATTTCTTCTTTTCATTTGTCCCTTAGGGAAGAGCCTAGATTCCAGGTCCCGTTTCAGTTGCTGACATCTCTCATGGACATCGACACCCTCATGACCAAATGGAGATGTAAGTCTTCCTGGCTCCCCATTCCTCTCCCCCAATTTGTCCCTTCACCCTTTTCTCCTTTTCTGTCCTCCTCCTCCCTCTCTCTTCCCCTTCTTTGTATGTGGGTGAGTTGCTTCTATAAAAATCAGCTTGACTATGACTTTCACAGGACTGACTTATCCAGTAAACACCACAGGCCCAGTGCCTTGGCCTTTGAGAGGCCTAGAAAATGTTCTACTGGATAATCAGAAGGAAAAAAAAATGATATTATTAGGTCAAAGAAAATATTTTAAGATACACTAGTAACGTACTCATTTGGTGCTGATATAATTTTAAGATTTAATTTTGATAATTTTTTTAAAGATTTATTTATTTATTTATACAAGCACTGGGTACAGTCAGAAGCGTGGGAGGGTAAGAGGATTCACCAGAGCCAGAGCGGGGAGCAGAGCAGGCAGACTGACGAAGTACATTGTTGAGGGGAGCAGCGGGCGGCAGGAGAGGTCTGCACGCCATGTGGGACCCTCCTCCGGTGGCCGGGGATTGAACCAGCACTGCAGAGACTGCGGGCAGCTTCGCAACCGAGCGCTCAACTGCTGCACCACCGGGGAAACCCCTAATTTTTTTTTTAATGGAGGAAAAGGCCAAGTGGCCAGGGCTGGTGTAAATCCATGTGGCTCTGCTCCCCACTCTTGTGTTCAAGGCTAATTGTGATGATGGATGGATTCAAGTGCATGTAGCCTGAACCAAGTGTGGTGCCAGGCAACCTACTGGTCTCATGTGGCTCTTGCACATGCACCTTCCATATGGCCAAGTGATAAGGTGTGAGCCTTTTCTCAGAAGCAATAATCATTACCAATCTCTTGTATTTAGACCACTGTGGAAATAATGCCAGAAAAATATCCATGGAGTTAATTTGTGTGTTTGCTTAGATAACCACGTGTGCATGGTGCACAGAATGCTGGGCAGCAAGTCTGGCACCGGTGGGTCCTCAGGCTATCAGTACCTGCGCTCAACAGTGAGGTAAGATGGGAGAAGTTCACCAATGCCTTTGTTTCTCATTTATATGTACACTACCTAGAAAAAAGTCATTTATACTTTGATCTACTGACAACACATTTGTAGTCAGATTATGATATAACTATTGTAAGCATTAGAGGTTAATATGAAAAAAAAAATCCTTAGTTTTGGAAGTTTAGGCTTCTGGTCCTGTGATGAGAAGGTGGGGAGACCAATGGCTACATGACCTATGGGGACTCAAAAAGGTAAATCCATATAGAAACATTTCAACTGATTCTGGCTCAATTTTGGACTAGATTAGAACTGTTATTAATGACTAATGACTAGATGAATGACACAACTAAAAAAGTTTCTAGTTTCTTGATATAACTTTACCGCATACAACTACTCCCATCTACTTCAGAGTACTTTTTTCATAGTGTTTACAGGAAAAGATGTCAACATTTATTAACACTTAAAATATGCCAGAGATTTTTCTAGGACATTGGTGTTCTTGTTTTATTTCATATGAACATCCACCAGCAAATGTCCACCCAGAACTACTCAGGGCCTCTCCCTCTCTGGTAACCAATATTTTATTGTCAGAGTCTAAGGGTTTGTTTTTGTTTTGCTTGTTTGCTTTTTTTTAAACTTTATATTCTACAAATGAGTAAAATCATATGGTACTTGTCTTTCTCTTTCTAAATCACTTGGTATAATCCCTTCAAGGTCTATCTATGTTACTACAAATGGCGAAATCTCACCATTTTATGGCTGAGTGGTATTCCACTCTGTGTGTGTATGTGGCACATCTACTTTATTCACTCATCTGCCCTCTGTCTTTGAGCAATTGGGTTGTAGTGGGTAGCTAGCATAACAACATGGACTCTAGGTTTTAATCTGAACCAGCCTGGTAAAGATCAATGAAACACATAATGCTGTTTGTGGGCATAAAGTTTGGATATGAAATAAAAATTAGACAATCTTAATACCAATTCTACTTAATATAATATATAAAATAAGTACCACATTTGATATAATATGGAGTACTAATTATTAAGGCAAAATACTTTTGTCTGAGAAATGACACTTATTGATAGAAAATTTTAAATAATTCATGTCAATAAACCTGAAACATCTATATGTATTTTTTTTCCAGTGACCGGTACAAGGTATTTGTAGACTTATTTAATCTTTCAACATACCTGGTTCCCCGACATTGGATACCGAAGATGAACCCAATTATCCATAAGTTCCTTTATACAGCTGAATATTGTGACAGCTCTTACTTCAGTAGTGATGAATCAGATTAAAATCATGAAGAACATCAATTTTTCAATCTGTAGTTTTTGTAAATTTTCATGAATGCACAGAGAGACTTAATGTAATATATGTATATACATAGCTAAGCACCCAAGTGGTCTGATTGGATTCTGGAAATAATTTCACTAGCTCATTATTGTGATGACATAAAATAAAACATGACAATGAGAAATTAATTCAATGAAATGGTAGCATTGTATAGTGTTTTTCTATTAAAAACTCAAAGTTCTCTGGTACTTACCTTATTGTAACCATTTAACCTAATCATTATCTCATTGTTTCATACTTTGTAAAATATTTCAAAATGTTATGCAATAAAATGTATCTTTCTTTAGAAAGCTATATTCAATCAAAATTTTTAAGAATAATAAAAATTAGTCTTTTGTCATATATTGTTTTAGAAACATTGCTTGCGTTTGAATTCTTTTTTTTAAAGATTTATTTATTTATGCATACAGGAGCTGGGGTTCAGGCCAGAGTTGTGGGGTTAAGAAGATTCACCAGAGACAGAGTGGGCAACAGCACAGGCAGACTGACCGAAGTACACTGCTGAGGGGAGCAGTGGGTGAGTCAGGAGAGGTTTGTTGTGCCATGTGGGTTGCTCCCTGGTCTACTGGGGATGGAACTTGTGCTGCAGAGGCTCTGGACAGCTTTGCAGGTGGCATCTTAACCCTTTGGACCTTTTTTTTTTTTTTAATGCATTTCATTCATTCAAAGAATGGTTTATTAGGAAAATGGGAAAAAGAGAGGCTCCTGTGTAGTCACAGGCAGGGAGGAGAGCTGCCTCATTACAATTCTTGATGACTAATGCAGAAATCTCTCTGAAGCTGGCCTAGAGGGAATTTACCCTAGAAGTTCTCCATTAGTTCAGATAACTAAGAAAAGCTTCGGGAGCTCTGAGGCCCCAGAGGGGATCCAGTTCCTGGATTCTGTATTCCTGGCACAGCTTGAGGATTTGTGCCTTGTCTTTTACATAAGCTCTGGCTTTATTCCTTTTTGTAGACCAGCTCCTTTCCTGGACTGAGTCTCTGCTTTCAGCACTTCTGGATTTGCAGAAGGCAAAAGTGCTCTTCCCCCAGCTCGAGGGCTTGTGGTCTGGGAGGGAGAGTCAATTTCAATGCTTAGCAGAATTAAGGCAGGAACAAGCAATAGTTCCCTCAAGGGAAAAAAGTTCTTTCCAAAAGAAAGAAGATGTAAACTGCTTAAACAATTACCCAGTTCATTTTTAATAAAAGTAATTAAATTAAGAGTTCAGATCAGACAATGTTTTCTTCTTTTTTTAGCTCACCCTGGATATTGGTAATGCAGCTAAATTTTTGTTATAGTGGGAGGGAGGGTGAGCTCAAAATATTATCAAAGGAATCTAAAACATACATCAACTTTGACATAAAGTATCTTTACCAAGTGGCAAGTTAAGGAATTGAGCTATTCTTTGATCTTGATGTCAAGGGTTTTTTTTTTTTGTTATTATAAGGCTCATATAGTCTAATTGTTAGGGGGAAATGATGTCCTGAGATAATCCCATACAGGCTTTGTGGACTCCACCCCCACTCCAGACTAAAGCCATCAAGACTCTGGGAAAGACAAATCCCATCACCACCAAGGGAGGGTGGCTGGGACCTGAGGGTGGAGTTGGGCAGCCAGGTTGGATATAAAAAACCAAACACGTGGGCCTTGGGCTCTCTCTCTGGCTCGCTATTGCTCACCTCCTGGCTTCACCGCTCCTGGCTGGCGGCGAACTCTGAGAGCGCCATTTTGGGATTCCTGATTGGCGGATCGGGTAGGACTCATTTAAAACTTTGTCTCCCACTTTTCTCCCAGAGCTGTACATTTCCTCATTTCCCCTTCCCTTGTAAATAAACCTTTTATTAACCTTTCACATGTGCCTGCAGTAGAGCATTGATAAGTCCTTTTAAGCGCGCAGGTGAGGACCCACAGTCAGGCACCCCGTTTTGTATCGGGGTTGCTCTACAACATAATTTGTCACTAAACTGTATATACTTACTTTTGTCTATGTGGATTTTTTATTTGTGTGTATTTGTGTGCGTGTATGTATATATATGCATGCTACCCAATGGTTAAGTTGAAAAAATACAGACAAGTAGCATCTAGTTAAAGGCAAAAGGTTTGAAATTAGCAAACTTGGGAACAAATTTTGGCTCTATTTTTGAACTATGTATACTGGTACAAACACCAGTTTAAGTCCCAATTTCATATGTATATAATAGAGAAAAAAATACTTATTTTGTTATAGAGCAACCCCGATATTAAACGGGTTCCTGGCTGTGGGTCCTCACCCGCGTGCTTTAAAGGGACTTATGAATACTACAGACACACACAAAAAGGTTAATAAAAAGTTTATTTACAAGAGGAAAGGAAATAAGGAAAATGTACAACTCAGGGAGAAAATAGGGAAATAAAGTCTTTAATGCGTCCTACCCGATCCGACGACCTGGAAACCCAATGTCACTTTCAGAGCTGGCCAGACGCTGCGAGCTGGTGGAGAGCCAAAATGGGGTCCCCCAAAGCCCACGTGTCTGCCTTTTATATCCACCTGGCTGCTTAACCCCACCCTCAGGTCCCAGCCACCTTCCCTTTGGTGGTGATGGGATTTGGAGTTCCCAGTGTCTTTGGCTTTGACCTGGGGTGGGGGTGGAGTCCACAAAGCCTATATGGAATTTGCTTTGGGACATCCTTTTCCCCCTAACAATTTCATAATCTTTGCTTTTTCTTACAAAGCAGTGAAGTTAATAGAAGTTCAGTACCCACGAAGTCTTAAAATCTTGGAATAAGTTCTATGTTTCAGGTTTTATCATTTTTTTAATTGATTGATTTGATTTAGATCTTTTTAGGTGTATTTCTTGGTGTGATTAAACTATAAAGTTGTAGGAGTTCCCCACCCCCAAAAGAAATAGCATTATTTCTTAATGTAAATGACAAAAAAAAAATTATCCAGTTTCTGTCCTTGTTTCTATTCAAACTTGCTTCTTGTGTCGATGATCCACTTCAAATTATAATTCTTAAATGGATCAAAAAGTCACTGTCAGGTAGACAGGATTCAATTTGAGATATATGTGAAATTACATCCAGGAACATTTTTATTATTTTCAATATGACTCTTAATTATGGATGATTTTATGGCTTTCCTCTTACCCTCATGGTGTACTACTCAGGTGTAGCTGACCTAATGAAATATCTAGCATTTCCCTCAATTGTATGGATTAACTGATTACAGAATGTTGATGCTGTTAACCAAGGTGAGACTTGGTTAGGAAGTGAAGGAGATTTTCAATTTTTTTTTCTGAGGAGTTGGGGAAGAGAGGATGATGAATGAAACCTTGGAGACACTGAGGTTAAGGTGTCTGCAGAAGAACCAAGCATTCGATACATGGATTTGTAGATGAGACAACTGTATGAAAATAGAGTATATTAATTCTGTGTTGACAAAGGAAAGTCATACACTTATGAACAAATTCTTCTCAACCCTAAGTCAAAAATAGGTTATTTTATTATAAAATGGCATCAAAAGAGCCGAGACATATTAATCACTTTGAAATTAAAAAAATTCTTTAACATTTGAAAATGAGTATCATGAGGCATTTATATCACACAAAAATAAGTAAACAAACACAACTAGAATACCCAGGGCATAGATCCTTTTGGCATACTTGGATAATTAGAATATTTATCAATTTTAATATAAATACTTGTCTTTCTGGGACATTTCTAAACCTGAGTCAACAGTTTTTTAAAATTTTATTTTTCTAATAAAGGAGATGGATGAAGGGCATGGGTGTGAGGAAAAATAGAAGTCCTCAATTTTGTTCAGTGGTTGCTGGTATATTTAAATTTTTGTTTTTGTTAAGACAGTCTACATTAGAAAGCCATCGTGAATTTTAGAAAATATTTACATATCTAGTGTTTGATATGATTTTCTTCCATTAACTTATCAATATGGTTGTATTACTTCCATTCAGCAGAAGATCCGCTCTTCTACCCTACGATTCTCACACTGTCTTTTATCATGACTTATGAAAACAGGAACATGGGCATAAAGAAGCAGAAGCCAGAGAAAAGTCAAAGGGAAACACAAAAAACTAGGCAGGAGGGGAGTCTGGGAAAAATGAACAGAAAACTGGAAAAACAGGAAACTCATCTTTTGGCTGATACATCAGATTAATGAAATTGGACTTTGAAAGAAGTGGTGTGAATAAATGACTGGAGGGAGAAAAATGTGAGTTCCTGATATTGATAGAGGCTAAGAGACAAAGGAGCAAATAGATGGTTATAAAATAGAAATGGAAAGTAAAGAATGGAATTTGCTTCTTTAGCCTGGGTATCCAAGCCACAAGGAAAAAAGGAATTTTTAGTAAAGAGTAAGAGAAAGACAGTAGGAGAACGTGGGATTCACTCTTCTCTAAGGCAGGGAGAACAGAGCAAGAAATACAATCTATTGGATCCCATTAACCAGGAAAATTTCCAAACAATAACTTGCTTCTCTGGCAACACCTCTTGAGTTTTTCTTATCACACATTTACCATATTGGTCATATAATTTCAATCAGGTTAACTTTCTGCTAAAAAGTGATTTCTTTCTACATGGCCTTTGTACAGTTCAAGGCTGGGCACCATCTGTTGATGGAAAGCAAGTGGTATTTCAAAATCCTTATGCTTTTCCCATGCAGAGGAGGCTAATATAATTGTGAGAGGTACACATAATTTTTGGTTGACGATTCTTGTATATAGGGGAAAACGAGGCCTGGTGATTATATCCCACAATGGGAAATACATTTTTATTACTTCTTTAATTCTACAGGAAGTAAATAATTAAAAAATAAACAAAAGCAAGAAGCAAACAAGACCAAGTAATAGCCTCTTTAAATTAAAGAGACCTAAACTATCTCCTAACCTGACCTTACTCTGGTGTGAGAACTGCTCTAAAGGTTTTATGCCTCACGTAGGTGCTGGTGTTCTTCCCACTGACTTTGGCTGTCCATCCCTCTATAAGGAACATTCTGCATTTTAGTTTAAATACTCTAGGCCAAAGAATTTTTGTGGGTTGTAGTTGTCTCTTGATTGGCTTATTCTTTCACACAAATACAAAAGAAACTGAATCTGCAATACCTAAAAAAAAAAAAAAAAGAGAAAAAGAAAAGGGAAATTTTAGTAATAATCCATTTCCTCTTTAAATGCCTTTAAATAGCAAATGAAAATAATATTCATTTGCATTCAGAAAGAGTTAATATCTACTAAAAGATAAATCACAAGTGTGCAGTACTTTCTTAGCACAGAAAAACACAGATCTCAATATTATGGCAAAAGCAATAAAGAACCTACTTGAAGATTGGATTTCATTGTAATTAGCTATGTCTTTTCAATCTCTTGGGGCCATGGAATGCCATCCCCCTGGCACTGCTGTTCATGAGAGTAATGTGATCATCATCAAGTATGTAATTCAGGAAATACTTTCAAGAAGGATTTGGATTGCTGTATAATTACTAGCCAGGTAGGTCTTTGGAAACTCAAATTGGGAAGCAGGTAGGGAAGAGAAATTATCCCAACGTACACTTAGTAGCTAGGAGTGGGGAAAAACTGGTAGTGGCGGATGCAGAGTCATAATTGGGGCAATTATGAATCAAAGTCTAAATTATATTCTTGCAGCTTTCCAGCCAGCACTTGGAAAACAGCCACTCCTCAGCCCAGATCCAGACACTATCACTTTGACAAATAATTTAATATTAGTCACAGAGGCTCTCAGTGTAAGTTCCAACAATGTAAAAGCCTCCAACGATGCTAGAAAGCAGAACCTAATTGAGTTGTCAGTGTTCTGGCTAAAAGATTTCTGCAATGATCATTCACATCAATAAATAATTTGTGAAAAATATTTTATGAGGTGATAGGACACACCATTTATTAACTCTCAGGGATACTGCTTTATGGAATGATTGGATAGTAATCACAAGATCGAGCCAAAACATAAGTTCTCATATTTTCAAAGATTTTTTTCCGTTTCTCTATTCATTTTTAAAACATTGTACCTATGTTAGATATAATTTTAATAAGATATTAAATGATTGTTCTCAAATGCCATATAGTTTTATGTTCAACAGAGAATTATGTTGATTTTCTAGATCCAGTTTTAGAATATAGATTAGAATATAGTTTTTAGAATACAAAAAAAAAACTAGATTTTAAAATTTGGTTGGGGATTAATTAACAAAAAAATTCTATCAAAGAGCTTGCTTAATATTTACTTAAGCTTCAATTTCAATGGTTTTTTTTTTTTTTTGCTAGAATTCTGTAGGTGACAAGGGACCTATAAAATCAGAAACAACCCTAAGGCTTAGATTTTCATGTATTTTCAGTTGATGAAAAAGTGATTCCTGACAATCCTTTAGCAGATATTATAACATCCAAATTAAGATAATTCACATAGTTATAAAAACTGAAAGTAGGAGATATATTTGGAGAAGTTCAGATTTCTAAGTTGAATGTTTATTTGGCTCTTGAAGTAGTTAACTCTGGTAACTTATTACTTTTATCTATAAAGTTGTCTTATACTTGTTTTTCCTAAAATTCCCCTTTTTTAAAAAACAGGATTATATGCAATAGTATCTCTTTTTAAAACAGTGTCTTTATCAATCAGTTAAAGGATTAACATTATTATTGTATAAAAAAAATCTGAGTACATTGGAAGCATACCATGGCCTCGACATTTCTACAGTTTTTATATATTCAGGCTCTCTTCCTTGACATTGACCTGCATTTTAAGTGTGAATGTATGACTCACCACAGATATTACCGCCCATTTTGACATGGGCATAGCCATCCACTCCCCACGAGCTTCCCCAGGAGTTGCGCACAATCCAATATGGCGTACTTCCTACAAGACACAGAATATTGACAAACCCTGAAGAACTCAACACTTGCTGTGAATGCATGTCTATATAAAGTTTACTTCTTTTTTTTAATTTTTTTTAAAGTTAATTTTTTTTAATTTTTTTTAAAGTTTAAAAAGTTTATTTATTTTATACAAGAACTGGGGTACAGACCAGATGTGTGGGACGGTGAGAGGATTCACCAGACAGTGGGGAGCAGAACAGGCAGACTGACGAAATACACTGCTGAGGGGAGCAGCGGGCAAGACAGGAGAGGCCTGCCCGCCATGTGGGACCCTCGCCGGCTGGCCGGGATTGAACCAGCACTGCAGAGGCTGAGGACAGCTTCACAGCGCGGCACTCAACCATCTGCGCCACCAGGGGAGGCCCTAAAGTTTACTTCTTGATAAGTATAGTAGTGCGAAGAAAAGGATTAAAAATAAAATATTAATTTAAACTAGCTAAGCAAACTTGAGTTGTATTGTCATATTCCATTCAATGGAAACATGTTTCAATTCATTTTAATGGACGTAGGAACTGCATAAACTGAAAACACACACACATTTCCAGGGAATTAAGAAAAAGAAAAAAATGTTATATATGTATATTAAAATAATAAGCACTTCTCTTCTTTCAAAAATCATTTTAAATTTTCCTTTTTAAATTTAAATGATGCATGTTATTTAAATCAAGAATTATCATAATTTAAAGAAAATTTCTATCAAAATTGATGCTTTATTTAAACAAAAACACTGAGAGGGTATTTATACTTAGAAGTCTACTGAAAAGTTGTAAAGGTTATGATGACTAAGACATGGTAAGACCAAATTTCAATATTTTAAAGGATAGTGATTTGTCAGAGTTCAAGATAGAAAGCAATATATTGAGTTCTATCAGCACTTACCTGTTTTATCAAACCCAGTGATGAGAACTGCATGGTTGGCTTCCCCACTAGAACAATGATGCTGTATTATGCCTCCCAGATAATCCTGCCAGCTTACTGCATCTACTACTGCTATCATGGGACCAAAGGAGAGAAGTGCTTTTGCCATTCCATCTTCTTGGCCACTACCAAAAGAGGACACATTTGGTTAAGGAGTTTAATTTTTAAGGTAATTATATTTTATAAAAATGATCTATTCACACTGTGTTTGATTATAGGTTTGATTGCAGTTACAGACGACCCAAACAATGGAGGTGACAAGAAGTCTGGGAGTGGCAGTCCTGGGTTGTTATGGGACTCCAGGTTTCAGGAACCCAGGTTCCTTCTGTATTGCTGTTCTCTTATGTGATTTCCCCATCCTTAAGGTCAATAAATGGTCCAAGATGGCTGCTCGAGCTCCAGCCATTTAATACGTATTTCAGATCGCAAGAAGCAGAAAGAATTCTTTATCTCTGTTGAGAATACTTTCCATTCTGCACTTACCTCTGTGATCTAATTGGCTAGAACTCAGTCTAGCTTTAGAAAAAATGGGAAGTGCAGTTTTGGAGTTGGCTGACCAAACACCCAGCTAAATAAGAAGAATCCTATTAAGGAACAAGGGATCACTAGGTATATGAAGTTATCTCTGCCACATCATGTGAGAATTAAGAAACTTGCCAACTTAATATTAATGAATGACAAATACAGAAATTATAAGAAAGAATCACCAAAAAGTAGTAACTATAGTTCTATGATACTCAGTATAATTATATTATAAAAGAAATATTAAGATGCCAGGAGAAGTCATCCCAGATCGTGAAGACTACAAAAGATACATTTATGACTTTCAACATGAACATAGCCTTTCAACATGAACATGATAGCCTTTTCTGCACAAGTGAGGCCATCAATCTTAAAAGTATTTGATTAAACCATTATTTACATTTGCAAAGGTCAGCATTGTGGGTGAAGGACACTGAAACCAAGTTGCTGGTATTTCAGGTCATTAAGATAGCATTTGGTAATTTATTGCTACAGCAAGCCATGGTAGATGAGTGGTTTGAAAGAGTAAATAATCCCTCATCAGGTCCATCTGGAGATTGTTTCTATCTAGGGGGATATTTTGTCCAACATGGATGAAAAGAGAGTCTATTACGTTTTGTGAAATAAACTAAAGAAAACCATTCATATGTGATTTATAGAGAAAACAAACAGATGAACTAAATAAAACAGAAATAAGTTTAACTAAATAAATAAATATGCCAGGCATGTTTCTGACTCAAAGCCTTTGAACTTACTGCTATCTCTGCTTGGAATAAAGACTTAAGTTCCCACACTCCTTCAAGTCTTTATTCAAATGTCCTTGGCTCAGCTGTTGACATCTCCCTGACAGCTATTTTTGAAGACTGTCTACATCTCACGCTTCTCCTCATGGTTCCTCTTTCTCCCATGGTTATATCTGGTTCTCTTCAGAAATTATTAAATCAAATATGCTGTACATGTTTTGATTTCCTTTGTCTGTAGCCTGTCTCTATCATTAAAATAAAATCCTGAGGGCAGAGATTTTATCTGTTTTGTTCACTGCTGAATTCCTAGACCCTAAAACTGTTCAACAAATATTTGAATGAATAAAAACCAGTCTTCTTGCGGAGTCTAACATGACTGGCTCAGCAATATATTATCAGAATTTTATCAGGACCTCTTCCTTCTTAATCCAAGGGTTGGTTCAATAATGTTTCATGCCCAGTACGATTGTATCTTCTCTCTCTCTCTCTCTCTCTCTCTCTCTCTCTCTCTCTTCTCTCTGTCTCTCTCAGACTAGTACCTGTTATTCTTTGTTTTCTTCCCAAATTTTTGAATTTGCTACACATGACAAGGGATAACCTGAATCCTTTTTCAATTTTGAACATTTACTTCCTTCTTGTGCACATTCTCCTTATACTCCAAGGAACTGTTAGCTTCAGAAGTATACTTCCTCATTTTAAAAAGTATGCTATCTTTATCCTCAAAGGAGATGTTGCCCAATGTACTCAGTGCCCTGCACCTTTTATTATAGATTCCATGTCACTTGCTGTCCTTGACAATGAGGCTCTCTTGTACCTACAGCCACTCCAAGAGCCTTTGTTGCAGATGGGAGCTGTGCTGACAACCACCAGCCCTCTGACGTTCTTACGCTTATTTCAAGTGGCTCCATTTTGTGCAGAGATGCAATTTCACCCTTGATTTCCTTTTGATCCCATGGGTAGATACCATCTGGAGCAAGGGATTCTTTGATATTCAGTATCAGAGAGTTGTAAGGCAGTCTGTCACCACATGAATTTAACTTCTCTTTTTATAGACACTGTGCAAAATTAATATACTACATAATATACCTCCAGGAATACACCCATCCCCACCTGCTTCTAATGCAAAAGCTTCACTTTATGCTGTTACTATAGGAAATCCCATGAAAATGCAAGGAACATAGAGGATGTTCAATTAAAAGAGATTTTTGACAAGAAGACTGCTTGAGACTGGTTGGATAGTCCATACAAAGCAGTTTTGATTGATTCAACAGTAAGACTGAAATTCTAATGTTAATAATGACACCTAAGATTGGTAAAGGAAAGTTAGTAAATATAAGTTATACCTTAAACTGGATTTAAATATGTTCATTTAAGCTAGTTATTTCTTTTATAATGACACATGGGGAAATAAGTAGAAATAACATCCATAGTATTCCATGGTGATTGTCAATTAGCCTCTCTAATAAAAAATAGATTTCATACAATTACTAGTATACAGTGATGCCTTCAATTGAGTTATTCATTCTGAAAAGTCAACAGGTCATACCTAAAAAGAATAAAGAGAGCAAATACAATACCATATTACCTGTATTCATATGCAGAATAATCTTTGATTGAAAATCCAGCAAATGAATCAGAAAAGTAATGGCACAGGCCGTTTTGTGCTTTAAATGGATATTCTGATTCTTTCACCAGTTTTACTTTCATCTAAAAGAAAATAATCATCAAAAATATTCTGTTATGCAATTGTTTAAAAAATCAGCAGAATCTGTTATAATGTGTCAAATTAAGATTCACCTTCACTGCATCTCCATCATGTGGGTATTCTTTGGGTTATTAAGATCTGAAATTAAACCTTTAGGTGTTTATGCTAAACATCCTAAGCAACTAGAGTCAATACATTTCTTTCTCTTTTATCCTGTTTTTCCTGCATCTGCCTTCCCTATAACCCCCATTGATCTGAAAATAAGCTCAGGTCAGCTTCCTCATAAGAGTACAATGTGGGAACCCACTTTCCTTCCAGGCCTTCTGGTTCTATGTTACCAACACTTAGCACAGTGGTCCAGGCACAGGCAGTGGTCAGGCCAAGCACTCTGTCCACCCACTTCTCCCTGGGTCAATCATCTGGCACATGTACCTATTTTATAGTTGTCTACACAGAATCCCCCTCTCTGGATGCAGGGCTTGCGGAAGGTAAAGGACACACAATTCACTGTGGCTCATAATGTGTGTGCAGCAACTTTGGATGTACAGTGACAAAACAGAGCAAATGAACAAAGGAGAGATATTGAGGTTCGGGGAACTATCCATAGCTTGTTAACCCTTTACACAGCACAACAGCATCCTCGTTGGCTTGTTTCATATCACTGAATCTGTGCCTTGGACAAGGTCAGAGTGTTCTAAGGACCGTGAGGGCTACTGTGCTATATTGAGTAAAGTCCTCCAGGGGAAGGAGGAAGATTTAAGGTTCAGTTCTGGTTCAGCTACTGATTTGGCAATGTGCCTTACCTATTAAGTCCCATTTCACCATCTACCTAGAGAACAACTCAAGTAGCTTATTTCTAATGTCCTCTTTAACCTAAACATCAGAAATTCTACATGAAGTTATAATCATACATGCTTATCTTTCTGGGACAGGTGGTACGTATCTGAGGAGAAAAAACATACTTTATTATGAAATATTAAAAATAAGCATAAATGAATTTCTACAAACAGATCTCAAGTAAAATTTGTTATTCATTGATTTCTAGATGACTGACTTGCATGGAAGCAATCAGAAAAATCTGATTTATTCAAGATTTGGGCATCTCTACTTCCAAACTTGAAAACATTATCTAGTACATGAAAATAAAATGTCTGAAATCTCCCCACATTATAGAAGCACAACAAACAAAGAGTTCAAAAGGCTGACAGAATAGTTACCTTCTTTAACCAGTTCAGTGCATTGAGGGGAGACCCTCCGTTGCAGCCATAGTTGTCATAGGAACAGTCAATGACCTGCTGGACACTAAGGTCTTCCAGGGGCTCCCCTTTAATTGCAAAGGCTGATTCCACTGCACCCACCACACTGAAGGCCCAGCACCCACCACACTGTTTAAAAACAGAAGTAGGATAGCATTATTATAAAAAAATTCAAATCAAGTTTACCAATTTTGACCATAAACAAGAGCAATCAATCACTCCAACAGTGAACAGAGTTTATTTGGCAACAAAACAATAGAAGAGAGGGCAGGTTAGAACGTGAGTTCTGGTGAAACCCACAGGATTTCCAAAACCCAAGGCTGACAACCCCTGAAATGACCTCTGGAGTGTCTCTCCCTCTGTTCTGCTGAAAGGGAAACAGTATCTTTTCTTTTGGAAGGTGAAGAGCCTGTTGGGTCCCACAGTCTCCCTCTTCAGCATGCATGAAGCCACTCATTTAAATAGAATTCTGAATACTGATGTTCACACCATTGTCTTTAAATATCACAATTTGTCAAAATAAATAAAGTGAGTAGAATTTTTAGGTGTTGCCAAAAAAAGTTCAGTCTTTATTTTCAAATTAAAAAGAGAAAAAACTCCAAAATTCCCTTTTAAGCATTAAAATCGAATTGGTTATTAAAGGTAAATTATTAGCATCACTATTGTAAATGAGGCAATCCAAGAAATAAAATTAAATGTTAGCAAATTGAGAAAGTTGAGTATTGAAAATTGAGAGACTAAGAAGATACTTGTGTTTTGTTTGTGAAGAATCCACAAGGGTTGGTCCTGAAATAGAAGGAGGAAATATAGGGGATGGGATCAAGGATGGTACACAAAGAAGAGGGACCCACTGAAAGGGGAGAGAAGACAACAGGATTTGAAAATGGGGGGGATCTGGGTTAGTCCTGGGACCTGTGCTGTAAAATCAGGCAAAGAAAAAAAAAAAAAAAAAACGTTGCTGGCATTTGTGAAATGAAGTTATAAGCAACTTTATGGTTATAAATGGCCTTCTGTCTCCAGATCCCAAGGCTTAGGAACACAGTCATTAAGGGACACTGCCCCAGGGGAGGTGCCCCTGGAGAAATGGGAAGGCAGGCTGCAGATATTACCTTCAGAGCCAGCTTAGTTAACATATCTCTGACAGCCCAGGAGCACATTTCTGGCAGTATATTCTTTAATTAAAGATTCTTTTTTTTTTTTAAAGATTTATTTATTTATACGAGAACTGGGCTACAGGCCAGATGTGCGGGAGGGTGAGAGGATTCACCAGAGACAGAGCGGGGAAACAGAACAGGCAGACTGACGAAATACACTGCTGAGGGGAGCAGAGGGCGAGACAGGAGAGGTCTGCTGCGCCATGTGGGTAGCTCCCTGGCTGGCCGAGATCGAACCCACGCTGCAGAGGCTGCGGACAGCTTCACAGTGCAGTGCTCAACCACCTGTGCAACCAGGGAGGCCCATAATTAAAGATTCTTAATTAAAAACTCCCCTTTAATACAACGTGCACACTTCCTGGAAGGACAATGTTTCGGACTGATTCTCACTTCATTACGAACCCAATAGTCAAACCAAGGATATGGTGGTACAATGAGCATAGCATCTGAGGGGGGAAAAGGATGATCTTAACTAGATTAGGACATTGCTGGGTCTGAAAGACTTATAAAAGGGAGGCTGAATCATCTGTTGAGGTTTCTACTGCAGGCAGCTTGTGGTTAGGGGACCAACTCTCCCTATGCCAACGTGGATCAGCACACACCCACTCAAAATATCACCCTCGAGATCTGTTCATGCCGTGCTCTACTCACACTCACCCCCAGCTACTGTTAACATTTCCTTCCAATTTCAGATACTCCTTCTCCCACCACTTTGCTGACACTCACGAGCTATAGCCCTACACTTAGGGCTACACTGTAGAGGCTACACTTAGGATCTTGCCCAAGGTCCATTGCTGTGTCTAACCCCTGTGAGACTGTGCTGCCATGTTGATTATTTTCTGATTTTCTTTAACGTGTCACTAAGTTTTGAGTGCTGTGCCCTAACCTCATTTCTTCCATAATCCCTTTGGTTTTTATGACATGATTTTGCAGAGATGGTGATTTAGGAGATTTTAGGTGTCACATTATAGTAAAACTGACTGCATTTTTGAGGAGCACAGATAGAAACCATATATAGGGGGTAGGAAGGGAGGTTCTGTGGTGGTGCTGAAAGGATGATGCCAGAGAACACAAGAGAATAGGACACACTGTTGGTGAATATATCTGGTTTTATGCTCCTTTTTCACTTAGTTTTTCTTTGAAACTAATTAAGCCTCTAGTTGTCAGGTTTAGGTCTTCAGTCTTCCACTTGCTATTGCAGAGAAGGCTTGGTGACTGTCACCACCTTTGGGTGACACCCCTGGGCTAGTGTGCTTGCTGCAATGGCAATTACTGAGAACACACCAAGGAAGGTTTATGTTCAGAATAAAAGTAGGATTTGGACATCTGCCCCTCATCCCCTAGTCTCCTTTCATTACCAGTTTTGGATGACTGGCTTGTGATTTTACCTGCGGAAATGATGGTTCCATTGCAAGTCTGATGGACCCCAACTTCGAAGGAGACTTCAGGCTAAGATGACTCAAGGAAAAAGACCTACCACTTACCGTCTGCTGGTTTCTCACTTGTGTCACAACATGCTTGTCCCTCCAGTCAAATCTTAACGGCAAAGACACGTTGGAGATGGATTTCTGTGCTTCTGCTGGGTATGTGGGGAATCTGGAGGATGTGCTTCTTAAATAAATAGCTGAGTGGAAGCATGAAATGGAAAGACAACCGATATTACGATATTATGAGATGGGGAGAGGATTATCTATGAAAGAACTTTTCAAACAGAAACAGTAGCTTTCCAGCGGAGACTATCTTTTGTGGTTTTCCTGTGTGCTTCTATAACATAAAACACATTCAGCTGAAAGCTACAAAAGATAAGGATTCCTACAATAGTGCTAGGGCTGGCACATAAAAGTCTGTTTGATAGAACCATGTCAATAATAAAAATGAATATAACTGACATCATTTGCTTTATCATAACCCAAGGAACCATAGGTGTCATGTATAGAAAAAGCAATAGAAAAAAAAATGGAAACAAAAGGTGAAGGATTGTCCTTTATAAGTGCATGGAAATGTCTGTAATTATATTTAGTTCTAAAGCAATAAATAGAAGACATTCGCCATGACTTTATTTTCTTTCAGCACCTGGTAATGCTTGATACTTAATAATTATCGACTGTATGTTAATTATGACTCAGTTTACTACACTTACAATTAAACAGTGCCTCCAAAATTAAAGGAACAAGTTAAAACCAAGAAACAAATCAGCTAACAGCGGCATCACGACATACCTTTAAACTCTTCAGGAAACAAATGAGAAAATTGATTTGTCCCATAGGTGGCAGTGGAGTTTTCACCAGGAAATAAAGAATTTAAGTATCGATGTCTATTCAGACTTTCCTAAAAAGAAAAGAAAAATAATTTATCTCACTTATGTTAAATTTCTCAGGTATTTTATTTTATTTTTAATTCTTTATTGAGGTACCGTTAGTTTATATGCTTAGGAAGTACAGAAATCCATGCCCCCCTCACCCCGTACCATAGTCACCATCAAAGCACCCACAGTCCCCCACCATAGTTTACTGTGGTCTCCTCACACCCTGTTCTTGCTCCTCCTCTCTCCTTTCCCCCTCTGAATGCCTCAGATCCATGGTAAGCTTTTAAAGGGTTGATTTTAACTAACCTGGGCATATTTTTCAATCAAAGTCAAACTTTTATTTTCTGTAAATCATAATGAAAAGCTTTATAAGATAATCAGATCATATTTATAAATCTTTTGTATTAAAACTACTACATGATTCCAGGAATATTTTTGATGCTGCAAAGGTGGGTTTTATTCATTTATATTCCCCACTAAGCATGCTGAGAACACTGAATGTATATTTGCTTAATGTAGTGAAAAGGGATTTGCAAATAAACTCTAATATTAGTGAATAACTGTCACCATGAACACTTATGTGATTAAACAATTATGAATTTGAAGGGCGTCTTTGTATTTTCCAGCACCAAGTTAGGAAACATGAAAAGAGGAATGAGTCAATTATGAATAGCTAAATCTGATTATATTTGAGTTTTATAGATATCTCTGTCTCATTTAGGGTAAAAGCACTTTGTGAAGAGATGCAATCCTGGGAAAATTCTAGGAAGACAGATGAGCTTGTCTACCTGGGGGACAGCACAGAGGACCATTATTTACAGATGCCTCAGCTGTGAATTTTGGAATCATTTATCTTAGGCTTGTCTTTTATGTGAAGGTGTCTTGATTTCCTAATACTAACCACTTGTAGGAGAAATAAAACATCAGGGGAGCACCACTTGATAAGTTTCCAATTCTAGCTCTTCTATATTTGTCAATGCTCTTAGGTCTCTGTTTTGTTTTTGTCTTATAAACCTACTGAGCCGACATTCTGTCTGTCCCATTCACCACTCTGTTCCCCACACCAAGCACATGCCTGCCTCACAGCAGATGCTTAATTAAATAGTGTTGTTGGGTGAATACATAAACGACATTTTATATAAGTTGTTTCCTTAATTTAATAGCTTTAAGCTGTTTATTTTTTAGCAAATTTTCACTAATTTATCACAATCTTATTTTTGCCTTATTGAGCATGCCTGGAAAGATTGTTAAGCGTGAACTAATAAAGTTATTGAGTTTTACACATTTAAAAATAATCTTGATAAAGCAGGCTTTGAATATAGCTTGGAGAGGAGATGCAGAAATATAAAAATAAAATTGGAAAACAAGCAAGCAAGCATATGTCATGCGACAAACATAAGTCAGAGTGTGCCCAGGAATTCAGAGACTTCATTTATTCTCACGTAGTGATTAGCCATCTTTGTGAGCCGGAGAACCAAGGACTGAGTTGAGAATGCAGAACATTTAAGAATCTGCAGCAAAGCACACGGCAGTTAGGAGAAAGGGTTGCACAGACCTCCACACGTAGAGCTTCATTGCTGCATGCTGAATTCCCAGGATCCCACAGGGGAAGCCCAGCTTCCCACAGCTATACCTAGCCACTGACTGCACACGAGTGCTTGCCTATTTTGAAACTGGTTTTTGATTAATGAGTCCCTGATAGACCCTTCCGTGGAGTAAACTGCGGCCTAGGATACTGTTCCCAAGCTTTCTTCTCTCTTGCTGATGGGCCCTTTCTCCATTTTCTCTTGCCATCACAAAGAAAAAGAAAGAACAAAGGAAAGAAAAGATGCATGTTATGACCATCAGGAATGAGAGAAAGGCCAGCACTACTGAGACTTCAGACATTAGAAGAAAAATACTTTGACAACTTTGTGGCAGTAAGTTTGACCATCTGTATGAAATGGCCATGTTTCCTTGAAAGATACGAATTACCAGAGTAAAATGTATTAGAAACAGAAAACTGAACAACCCTTTATCAACTAAAAGCAGTCAATTCAGAACTGGAGGTGAATGCACAAAGAAAATTCTAGGCCTAGATGGCTTCATGGATGAATGTTCTACAACTGAAAAAGAAATAAGACCAATCTCACACACATTCTTTGAGAAAATAAAGGAAAAGAAAACAATTTACAAATCATTTTGTAAGTCCAGTACTACCCTGGCTTCTAAACCAGACAGGGAAATACATCCCCTGAAAAGTTTGATACCAATAGTCCTCATGAGTATAGAGGCAAAATTCTTAACCAAATACTAACAGAACAAATGCAACAATACACAAGTAGGACAACACACCATGACCAAACAAGTTTATTCAACTTCCTATCATGATAAAAATTCTCAGCCAACAGTGAAAGGAAACTTCTTCAAACTGACTGGGGGAACCTATGAAATACCCATATCAACCAGAAGTCAACCTCTATAAAAGAATCCCACATGTGAATTTGTCTGTCATTCTAACGTGATGACTCCGGCCCCACCATGGCAATCCACAACCCATGGGAGAACTGGTTGATGTTTATAATGTGACTATTTGCCAAAAGTAAATAATCTGAACCCTGAAGTACTCAGCTTTGCCCTCTGTCACCACTAATCCCTACCCCTTTCTTTTGACTCTGTAAGAGCACTCATAATTTTAAAAGTACTTCTCTAGAGAATTCTTAACAAAGCATATGGTTCAAGACAGGGATAGAATACAGGCTACAAAGCTTTGTTCTCAAGCAACTGCACCAATACTTCTGGTTTTGAAAACTAGAATTGAATTCAAAGCAGCAAAGTGGAGATAAAAACACACATTTTAGGGGCTTCCCTGGTGGCACAAGGGGTTAAGCACCCCACTATGAAGCTCCTCCAGCTTGGGAGCTACCCAATGACACAGCAGATCTCACCTGTCTCTCCCGCTGCTCCCCTCAGCAGTGTATTGCAGTCACTCTATCTGTTCTGTTCCCCACTCTGTCTCTGGTGAATCCTCTCACACCCCCACCCGCAACTCTGGCCTGTACCCCAGCTCTTGATGCATAAATACATAATCTTTTAAAACACACACACACACACACACACACACACATTTTGGTTTGGGAGAGAGGTAAGAGTAAAGAGAATTACCAAGGCTGGAACTTACCACACACTGCAGCTTTCTAGGGGACAGAAGGAGAAAAGTCCTAAGGAACAGAGCTACAGGATCCCACAAGAAAATAGGAAAACAAGACATACATTTCTAATCTGCAGCATTACTGACCTCAACCTTATGTCTGATTCAGAGTGAAGGTTCTATAATAATAAATCATAATTATATCTAATAGGATTTAAAAAAATCGTTAAATAATATCAGACATATATTGATAAAACACAGGGAAGCAAAATCAAAATCTGTATTTGTTGCAGTTTCCTTGGCTTCAGGAAAAACCTTATTTTTACTCAGTGACCTGGTCTGCTTCAGTATTTAAATAGTAGGGTAAAATCCAAGCATGATTATAACAAGCAGGAAAATGCATGACAAAAATGATTACTATCTCAAAATACACTGATAAGAAAATGAAATCCTTTCCCTTCCTCTCAATCCGTTTCCACCAAGTCAGGAAGAAGTTTTAAGGCGCTGACCTAGCATCAGGGGCCCCAGTTTAAAAAAGAAACAAACCCAAATCATAAACGAGTAGTATTCTCTGAATTTGCTAAATGCAGGTTCTTTGTGTATAAACTTCTCATCACCGAGGTAGGGTACCAGCGCCCCCCTCCGGAAGAAAAACGACAGGCGTCTGTCTTCCTCTTATTTCTGGTTTCTCACTCATATGGAGTCTTCTAGAAGGCAACTAGAACTTCCACGGGGCACTGTTAAAAAGGGTGGGTGACCCTTTCAATCAAGGGTCACCCACCCTTGAATAGTTTGTATAGGGCCTCCCTGGTGGCGCAGGGGTTAAGATGCAATCTATGAAGCAATCAGCAGCCTCTGCAGCACGAGTTCAATCCCCGGCCAGGGAGCTACCCACATGGCGCAGCAGACCTCTCCTGTCTAGCCCGCTGCTCCCCTCAGCAGTGTGTTTCAGTCAGTCTGCTGGTTCTGTTCCCCACTCTGTCTCTGGTGAATCCTCTCACCCCCCAACCCCTCTGGCCTGTACCCCAGCTCCTGTATGCACAAATAAACAAATCTTTAAAAAAAAAACCACAAGCACTTTGCACGTATGCATCGATTACTTTGGGGTCTCCTATAAATCCACACCTCTAACTCTTTGCTGGGAAATGAAATCCTGTGGCTGGCTACAGCCAGACAGGGCCCGACATCCTGGCACAGGGGCGCCCCAAGGGGAATTTCTTTGGGCACACCCAGCTCAACACCCCCATTTGCAGCACAGCACCGCGGGCCAGGTGACCGCGGGGGGTGCCAGCCCCAGTGACCCCTCCCGCCCGCCCCAGCCCGACCCCGACAGGAAGGGGCGAGAAGGAAACAGGCGGGGGGGGGGGGGGTTTGGGGGGGCGCTCGGTACCCGGAAGGCGGCTGCGGGGCCCCCGCAGCGCGGCGGCCCGAGGCGGGGGCGGGCGGCGCCCGGGCGCGCGCCGTGGCCGCAGCAGCAGAGCAGCCCGAGCAGCCAGAGCCCCCGCGGCGCGCGCGGCTCCATGCCCGCGGGACGGGGCTCCAGGGCCGCCACGCCGGGGTTTTCTCTTTCGGTTCCTTGGCTCCGCCCCTTCAGGGGCCCGGGGGGCGGGTCCTGGGCGTGGGGTGCCCGTCCTGGAGACGTGACGCTGTAAACCCACACCGCCCCCATAGCTCTGCACCGGGGATCCGGTGAGCTGGAGATGCTGGGGGTCCCCGCTTCATGTCCATGTGCTTTCTGATTTTTTTTTTTAATTTAAATATTTTATTTTATATAATTCGTACATCTTTTTTCATCTTTGCACAATGTATGCATTTTCATTTTGGTTATAGTCCCCATACAATTGCAGCCCCCCTTATTTTGACTCTAGTCCTTCCTTTCCCTGTACCCCCCCT